TGGGGATCAGGTATCAGTTTGCTGTACACGTCACTACTTAGTTGTATTTGGGCTTGTTGGGGATCAGATATCAGTTTGCTATACACGTCACTACTTAGTTGTATTTGGGCTTGTCGGGGATCAGATATCAGTTTGCTGTACACGTCACTACTTAGTTGTATTTGGGCTTGTTGGGGATCAGGTATCAGTTTGCTGTACACGTCACTACTTAGTTGTATTTGGGCTTGTTGGGGATCAGATATCAGTTTGCTGTACACGTCACTACTTAGTTGTATTTGGGCTTGTTGGGGATCAGGTATCAGTTTGCTGTACACGTCACTACTTAGTTGTATTTGGGCTTGTCGGGGATCAGATATAAGTTTGCTGTACACGTCTCTACTTAGTTGTATTTGGGCTTGTTGGGGATCAGATATAAGTTTGCTGTACACGTCTCTACTTAGTTATATTTGGGCTTGTCGGGGATCAGATATCAGTTTGCTATACACGTCACTACTTAGTTGTATTTGGGCTTGTTGGGGATCAGATATCAGTTTGCTATATATGTTAGTTCGCTGTACAGAGTTTGTTATGTACGTAAATTATATATGTTAATATAGAGGTGATAAATGGGGATTTTGTAACAGCTTGTTGTATCTGTTTGTTCTTCTTTCTGTGTTCGTTATATATATATTCCTATATCAATCACATTTGGTCTACTATCAGTAGTGTTCAACTTGTAGGTAATATGTAGCTGTTTGTTTCCGAGTTAACTTATTAGGCATGTCATTATTTTTTTGACACAGTTGAACCAATCAACTCAACTCAAAAGGGTGCACGGGAATCACGCACGCACGAATACGGTGTTAGCTTTGGGCGTCTCAACGTGCGTGATTCCCGTGCCACCTGTTGAGTTGATTGGTTCAACTGTGTCATATGGCCCTGTGACGCAGGGGTAGCATTATGCAGATGGCTGTTTCAATGAATGCTCGTTCCACCCGTGACGACAGGTCTGGTTGTTGATCAATTATAGTGATAGCTAAATAGACAGATTATTTATTCATGCACCGGTTGTCTTTAATTGTAATATCCAGTTATGTATGACTGTTTAATAATCTCATACCAACTTTGACTGGAGTAGGTCCAATAGTTATTCAGATATTGTAGTAAACGTCGGTACCTTAAATTACCTTCCAGACTATAACATATTAGGCAATTTTAATGCTGCAGATCATATATATACCTATGCAGTGACCTGACGATGAGATTTTAATTGTCCTTGTTTTAATTGACATGTATATACTCAGCAACAAAAGAAATGTGAATACCAGACATGTTGGTTCAAATGTGAAGACTTACTCATATTCAAGAGATATTAGATTTGTTTGATGCACAACCGAACATACTGGTATGTTGTGTGAACCGACGCGCATGAACGTATCACATGTGACGCCATAGATGCATGACTTAAGATGCACCCTTTGTCTTGTGCAGGATTAGCGTGTAAAGTACGGAAATCATGTGCAGAATGTCGTGATAAAAATAAATACACTGTGGTAACACTCGACTGATTGTTAGTTTTGTCATTGATTGGTATACATTGGAAACATCTCTTCTTAACGTACATACTTCTCTATATGTTTCTATGGTTCACGTTTCTTATTGCAATGAGTATATAAATAGAATAGCCAATCAAAAAAATTACGCAAGTGTTTGTTCCTCATTAAACACTCCGCTTCTCAATAAAATATAATTCTTTTAGGTTTAGGTGAGAAAGGTTTATATAATATTATGTAAATATGCATTATATTTATGTGATGGATGTGTTTTAGGAATATTTATTGCCTATGTTATTGTTATTACCGGTAATAGCTACATGACATAGCGGGAGTAAACACAACCCGCCGCCTTGGTCCTCATTGACTGGACCAGCAGAGGCTGCAACACAAGTTTGAATTGAAAGACCATGAAGCAGTCCCGTGAACATCCGGTGTAGAATAGTTCTTCAGCAACCCATGCTTGACTCCCCGTGAACATCCGGTGTAGAATAGTTCTTCAGCAACCCATGCTTGACTCCCCGTGAACATCCGGTGTAGAATAGTTCTTCAGCAACCCATGCTTGACTCCCCGTGAACATCCGGGGTAGAATAGGTCTACAGCAACCCATGCTTGTCTCCCTGTGAACATCCAGGGTGGAATAGGTCTTCAGCAACCCATGCTTGTCTTCCCGTGAAGATCCATGTAGAATATGTCTTCAGCAACCCATGCTTGTCTCCCCGTGAACATCCATGTAGAATATGTCTTCAGCAACCCATGCTTGTCTCCCCGTGAAGATCCGTGTAGAATATGTCTTCAGCAACCCATGCTTGTCTCCCCGTGAAGATCCGTGTAGAATATGTCTTCAGCAACCCATGCTTGTCTCCCCGTGAAGATCCATGTAGAATATGTCTTCAGCAACCCATGCTTGTCTCCCCGTGAAGATCCATGTAGAATATGTCTTCAACAACCCATGCTTGTCTCCCCGTGAAGATCCGGGGTAGAATATGTCTTCAGCAACCCATGCTTGTCTCCCCGTGAAGATCCGGGGTAGAATAGGTCTTCAGCAACCCATGCCTGTCTCCCCGTGAAGATCCGGGGTAGAATAAGTCTTCAGCAACCCATGCTTGTCTCCCCGTGAAGATCCGGGGTAGAATAGGTGTTCAGCAACCCATGCTTGTCTCCCCGTGAAGATACTGGGTAGAATAGGTCTTCAGCAACCCATGCTTGTCTCCCCGTGAAGATCCGGGGTAGAATAGGTCTTCAGCAACCCATGTTTGCCATAAGAGGAGAGACCCGTAAAAGGCTACTATGCTTATAAAATGTGACTAACAGGATGGGTTGGTCAGACTCGTTGACTTGATTGATGCATGTCATTGTATCCAAATTGCGTTGATGGATGCTCATGATGTCAATTTCTGGATTGTCTGGTCCAGATTCGATTACTTACAGACCACCGTCATACAGCTGGAATATTGCTGAGTGCGGCGTTAAACAACGAACAAACAAAGAAACAAACAAAAAATACCTGGAAGTAACATGAGGCAGACTTGCTTGTCTGAGGTCTAGATCTCAACAGTATATGACTGTTTATAGATGTATGATGACATTATATGTACTGTGAAACCTTGCTAATCTGGAAACCCTGCTTAACTGTTTGGATTTAGTCCTGCTAATGATAGGCTCACTCGTTATATTTCAGCATAAGATAATTATTTCCACAAATAGAAAACTGAACTTTTGTAAAGCCCTGTGGGGATTCTGGGTGAGTCCCTTGTAACCTATGCTGGTCACATGACTTGGGAGGGATGGTTGGGTAGCCTAGTGGTTAAAGCTTTCGTTCATCAAGTTCGATTCCTGATATGGGTACAATGTGTGAAGCCCATTTCTGGTGTCCCCGTCATGATATTGCTGGAATATTGCTAAAAGGGGCATAAAACCATACTCACTCACTCACTCACCCACATGACTTGATGTTTGTATTTCATTGTACCTGGACGAAGTGGATCGGTGCTCATCATATCAATCACAGGTTTGCCAGTCCAGACTTGATTATTTACACCTGCTGCCTAAAGCTTGAAAATATGACAGTTTGGACTGAACATCAAAGAATTCTACACAGATCAGAATAACTGCTACACAATTCAAGTGGACTTCACGAGGGACGAGTCCGTGGTCTAATTGACCGTTCTTCCCAAACATTCATGAAACACTGTTCCATTACTACAAGTGGAGGTAAAGAGACAATGAATAATTTAGATCTCTCCACTACCCAATAAGATTGAAATCTAAGGTGCGATGTCGGTGTATAGTATCTGTGTGTGTGATTACCTCGGTCCTAGTTACCATGTATTATTTAGCCATGTCTACTCCGGCTCAGTCAATCTCTTTGCAATATTGATTGAAAAATGTATCTGAGAGGCACACTAATGTATGTTGAGGGTGCTCCGTTTCCTTGTGTGAACATTAAGGATGTGATCAAGGAGATACTTCACCAGGCCACTTGTGTTACACTGAACCAGGGCAATGGAGGTACTGGCACAGTGGTTCAAGTGTTTGCCCATCACGACAACGGTCTGGGTTCAATCCCCCACATTGGTGCCATGTGGGAAGTGCCATCATTTTGCGATGCTGAAACCCCATTTGACCTCACCGTGAGGAGTTGATTTATTTAAAGTGAATAAAATGGTTGTGTTTGTATATTTTCTTTATCAAGCCTTGGGGTTCAGTCCTGAAAGGTGTCAGCCACTGGTTTGCCTGGCCCAGACTGAAGTCTCTGCAGGCTGCGAGTGATAGAGGTGATTATTATTATTATTATTATTATTATTATTATTTACAGAATAAAATATAAAATGCAGCAAAGATGGTTTGGGTGATCCTGGCAAAGTCAGGCTGGTTAGGCTCATCATCAGCTCAGGGCCCTTGCCCACTCTACACGCAGCCCAGACAGCGTATGGGACTTCTCCCAGGAAGCGCTACCTAGTCAAACCCACCCAGAACTTTTCGGAGAATGTGAAGACGCACCAACACTGCAGCCTTCTGCATTACCCAGATTGTCAGAAGGGCTGTATACCAAACCCGGGTACTCTCCCAATGTCAGTCAACAGATTGGGAGGTACCAAACCTAAGGCACCGAGAACAATGGGGAGTCGGACAACTTGGTATTTGGGATGCAAGCATGACATTTCGAAGGCGAGGTGATATTATTATTATTATTATTATTATTATTATTATTATTATTATTGTCTTTCAATGAAGGAAAAATCTTCACAGTATATCCCAGATCCTTCTCCACCAATCCGTGTCACATCATCCTGTGTCACACAGACAACAGACAGCATGCTTGCATCTAAATGAGGAACCCAATACAAAAGTCAGCCTCATTTATTAATTATGACAGAAAACAAAAGCAGGCCAGTGTAAGACTGCCGACACCTCCAACACTAAGCCACACATTACTATCCCAGGGGGACTGCCATTGTCCTCAACCAAATTCCTTCATCTGTCGCCCCCAGGCCACGGCCTGCACTGACGACACAAAATATGACAATACAGGCATGAAATTCTTCATTGACTGCATGATCAATTAACAGCCACGCCAACACTGGAGTAGGTTGCAAGTGTATTTGTTTTGTCACAAGGCTGGATATATACAGTGGTATTCTGCCAGTTGTAACACTGTGATGACCAACTTGGCTGGAGCTGGTGTATAAATGGATATACACAATGTGCTATAATGGATATGTACAGTGGTATTCTGCCAGTTGTCACATTCTGATGACCAGCATGGCTAGAGCTGGAGTATAAATGGATATACACCACGTGCTATAATGGATATATACTCACCAACTAACTGAGTTTAACCAAGAAGGTAAATATACTTCATACACTAGGTATAGACTCAATTGTTGTGGTATTGATTTCTTCCGTTTAATTGGAATGAATTGTCGCACAGTTGACTATTTGTGAAATATTTGTTTAAAATATTTGGGTTACCTGAAGGGTTTGAAGAATCTGTTGCTGTGGAATGTTTGCTTGATGCTGAAGAAATTAAATGTATCTTTTTGTATCTGGATACCATATCGTCATTTTTTATTAATGAAATTATCGTCTTCACCCACGTGGGTCTGCAACTGGATTTCAGTTTGATATGAGAGGAAAACCCACATTGACACAGTTCATGAATTGCTTTTTGTGGTGCAGAGTTGTGTCCCTTTGGTGTGGCAGAAACCTATGACTGGTTCGAATTCTAGATTTGCTCGAACTGACATAACTGTGATATAAATGCAATATTTCTCAAAGGGGCATAAAACTTGTTTCTCATCCTTTTAGCTCTGCAGAAATATGTTTGACAAATTTAACTTTGATGCATTGATGATTATTTTTTTTAATCTGTTCTCGTCCCTGAAATAAAGCCAATTTGACATTAAATTTTAACTCCCAGTAAGAAGAGCCTTGTCTGATTCTTGTGTGCAAAGCTTCTAGGCTTCCATGTATTTTCTTGCAATGAGGAATCTCCACAATAACTGACTACTTTGACTACCACTGGAGCTGGAGACACCACTGTCTGAAGCCTGTGCTCACATGTCATACATCTGCATTTATAGGAGACGATCCATCATCGTTCAGTTACATATGTCGACATTTCGATCCATACATGATTTCTTTGGTCAAGAGGAAATTAACCGAGTTTTCATGACATGTCATGAAAAGATAAGTGGATGTTTGAATCCATGGTAACCAAATCTTACACTGCATTTACATGATATATAAGTGGTAACCATGGTAACTATCGACTGAGAATGCAGAGTATAGAAACCTAGTTATTGTTATTGGAGTAACCAATTTAAATATAAGAGTAGGATTCATATCAATTTGCATATTGTCGTTGTTGGTGGATTGATGGTTGATTGTTAGAGGAATGACAGTCTCCGTCTCCATATATATATGTATATGCACGTGTTTTGCTTGCTTTGAAACCTGCCTGTCTCCGGCCCACTCCATATTTCTTCTATATGCTATGATTATTTGGGAGAGTTCTGCATATTTCTTCTTTATGCTTTGATTATTTGGGAGAGTTCTGCATATTTCTTCTATATGCTATGATTATTTGGGTGAGTTCTACATATTTCTTCTATATGCTATGATTATTTGGGAGAGTTCTACATATTTTTCCTATATGCTATCATCATTAGGGAGAGTTCTACACATGTTTCCTATATGCTATGATTATTTGGGAGAGTTCTACATATTTTTCCTATATGCTATCATCATTAGGGAGAGTTCTACACATGTTTCCTATATGCTATGATTATTTGGGTGAGCTGCATATTTCTTCTATATGCTATGATTATTTGGGAGAGTTCTACATATTTTTCCTATATGCTATGATTATTTGGGTGAGTTCTACATATTTCTCCTATATGCTATGATTATTTGGGTGAGTTCTACATATTTCTCCTATATGCTATCATCATTAGGGAGAGTTCTACATATGTTTCCTATATGCTATGATTATTTGGGAGAGTTCTACATATGTTTCTTATATGCTATGATTATTTGGATGTGTTCTGCATATTTCTCCTATATGCTATGATTATTTGGGTGAGCTGCATATTTCTTCTATATGCTATGATTATTTGGGTGAGTTCTACATATTTTTCCTATATGCTTTGATTATTTGGGTGAGTTCTACATATTTCTCCTATATGCTATCATCATTAGGGAGAGTTCTACATATGTTTCCTATATGCTATGATTATTTGGGAGAGTTCTACATATGTTTCTTATATGCTATGATTATTTGGATGTGTTCTGCATATTTCTCCTATATGCTATGATTATTTGTGTGGGTTCTACATATTTTTCCTATATGCTATGATTATTTGTGTGAGTTCTACATATTTCTCCTATATGCTATAATAATTTGGGAGAGTTCTGCATATTTCTTCTATATGCTATGATTATTTGAGTGAGTTCTGCATATTTCTTCTATATGCTATGCTTAGATGTGTGTTGAGTTGTGTAAGCTCTGACCGATTTTCTCTGCTCCACAGAGCTATATGGTTATGATTGTCTACTGGCCATGAATCACCGTGGATTGGGGCCCAGAAATCTAAATGATATTTTATGTTTAGTGTCAGGGTTTGCATACACTGTTGCAATGTGAAGCCATGTACACAAGAGCTTTTGCAAAGTTAAACATTAGTTATCATTAAATAATACCGTATGTGCCATATTAAGCAACTTGCTCCAAAAAGTGGCCCCGGACGAACTATTCGACGACCAATCTGTAAGTAATCTTTAGAAGTGACCAGCTACTCGACCAATCTGTAAGTAATCTTTAGAAGTGACCAGCTACTCGACCAATCTGTAAGTAATCTTTAGAAGTGACCAGCTACTTGACCAATCTGTAAGTAATCTTTAGAAGTGACCAGCTACTCGACCAATCTGTAAGAAATCTTTAGAAGTGACCAGCTACTCGACCAATCTGTAAGTAATCTTTAGAAGTGACCAACTACTCGACGATCAATTTGTAAGTAATCTTTATGAATCTTGTCAGTCATACAGGGTTATGAATCTTGTCAGTCATACAGGGTTATGAATCTTGTCAGTCTTGCAGGGTTATGAATCTTATCAGTCTTACAGGGTTATGAATCTTGTCAGTCTTACAGGTTTAAAGAACCATGTCAGTTTTGCAGGGTATGAGAACCTTATCAGTCTTAAAGGGTTATGAATCTGGTCAGTCTTACAGGAATTGTATCAGGTTTACCTGGAATGAGAATTGTGTCAGTCTTGCAGGCTATCTCTTAATGCCATCTTGTTAATGGTGCTGACATTTGAATCGTGATCCGAGAAATGTGATCATGCAATGCTATACCAAACAATGGTCATCTCAGATATTTCATGAAATGCCAGGAGAAAACAGTTTAACTTCATGTTTACAGCTGTTGCAGGGAAGACACTAACTGATGTTGTATAACAGGGATATCATGGTGGATGTTGTATAACAAGGATAACACTATTGATGTTGTATAACAGGGAAAACATGATGGATGTTGTATAACAGGGAAAACATGATGGATGTTGTATAACAAGGATAACACTATTGATGTTGTATAACAGGGAAAACATGATGGATGTTGTATAACAGGGAAAACATGATGGATGTTGTATAACAGGGATATCACTATTGATGTTGTATAACAGGGAAAACATGATGGATGTTGTATAACAGGGATATCACTATTGATGTTGTATAACAGGGAAAACATGATGGATGTTGTATAACAGGGAAAACATGATGGATGTTGTATAACAGGGATAACATGATGGATGTTGTATAACAAGGATAACACTATTGATGTTGTATAACAGGGAAAACATGATGGATGTTGTATAACAGGGAAAACATGATGGATGTTGTATAACAGGGATATCACTATTGATGTTGTATAACAGGGAAAACATGATGGATGTTGTATAACAGGGATAACATGATGGATGTTGTATAACAGGGATATCACTGTTGATGTTGTATAACAGGGATATCACTATTGATGTTGTATAACAGGGAAAACATGATGGATGTTGTATAACAGGGAAAACATGATGGATGTTGTATAACAGGGGTAACACTATTGATGTTGTATAACAGGGATAACACTATTGATGTTGTATAACAAGGATAACACTATTGATGTTGTATAACAGGGGTAACACTATTGATGTTGTATAACAGGGATATCACTATTGATGTTGTATAACAAGGATAACACTATTGATGTTGTATAGCAGGGATATCACTATTGATGTTGTATAACAGGGGTAACACTATTGATGTTGTATAACAGGGATAACACTATTGATGTTGTATAACAAGGATAACACTATTGATGTTGTATAACAAGGATAACACTATTGATGTTGTATAGCAGGGATATCACTATTGATGTTGTATAACAGGGGTAACACTATTGATGTTGTATAGCAGGGATAACACTATTGATGTTGTGTAACAAGGATAACACTATTGATGTTGTATAACAGGGGTAACACTATTGATGTTGTATAGCAGGGATAACACTATTGATGTTGTATAGCAGGGATAACACTATTGATGTTGTATAGCAGGGATAACACTATTGATGTTGTATAGCAGGGATAACACTATTGATGTTGTATAGCAGGGATAACACTATTGATGTTGTATAGCAGGGATAACACTATTGATGTTGTATAGCAGGGATATCACTATTGATGTTGTATAACAGGGGTAACACTATTGATGTTGTATAACAGGGATAACACTATTGATGTTGTATAACAGGGATAACACTACTGATGTTGTATAACAGGGGTAACACTATTGATGTTGTATAACAGGGATAACACTATTGATGTTGTATAACAAGGATAACAGTATTGATGTTGTATAGCAGGGATATCACTATTGATGTTGTATAACAGGGGTAGCACTATTGATGTTGTATAACAGGGATAACACTATTGATGTTGTATAACAAGGATAACACTATTGATGTTGTATAACAGGGGTAACACTATTGATGTTGTATAACAAGGATAACACTATTGATGTTGTATAACAGGGATAACACTATTGATGTTTTATAGCAGGGATAACACTATTGATGTTGTATAGCAGGGATAACACTATTGATGTTGTATAGCAGGGATAACACTATTGATGTTGTATAGCAGGGATAACACTATTGATGTTGTATAGCAGGGATAACACTATTGATGTTGTATAGCAGGGATAACACTATTGATGTTGTATAGCAGGGATAACACTATTGATGTTGTATAGTAGGGATAACACTATTGATGTGGTATAGCAGGGATAGTCAA